TGATGGCATGTTCACAGTCAAGCTCAAGGCAATCTTGTTGAGTATGAATTTTCTCATTGAATAAGGATTTTCTCAGTTGTACCGTCTCCAGTGGAGGATTCTGTGAGCATGTTCTCTGGTCCTGATTTCTCCTCTTTACTTTTCACATCACAGGCCTGCAGGTGCAACTGGAGAGGCTTCCCTGTAATGACACGCAAATCATTGTAAATGCATTTTCTATGACACCATATTTAATCATTTGAAGATTTTCCACACAGGTTATAATTTCATTCCTACACTGGAAGGTGATGATCACCACACTGAACTGCAGCTTTATAACTACATTTTCCATTGTATACTCCACTAACGCATCTCCTCCTTGTAGGCCAAACACTTTCTCTCCTAGTGTTTAGGTCTATGGTTTCAAATGTCCTCGTGTAAATGAGAGTAAAGGAGGGCTGGTCACGTTACCGTTGCGATTAAGTAGTCGCAGCCTGACGGAGGACATAGACACGATGAGAGAAGAGGCCTTGTACTCGGTCTCTAAATGGTCGCTGGTGCAGGACAGGGCCTGAAGCACCTTTGCCACACTTCCTCTGGCCAGAGCAAAGGCTAGGAGGGTCAGCTCTGCATCAGGACTCACACAGCAGCTACATAGACGCAAAGAAACAAACACAAGTTAGTTTTGGGTTGCTTTTCATTCAATTATTTTTTGTGTCTCTATAGTGTCGTAGATATTTGGGCCAAAAAAGTATATTTTCATGCATGGTCATGACTTTCAAATGTTCCCTCACATCTTAAAAGGATAGGTTCACATTTTTTCCAATCCATCTTAAAGAATCAGTGCGTAGGACTTAGTGGCATCTAGCGATGAACCTAATGAATATAGCTCCCCCTTCCAATGATGTAGAAGAAACTTAGGTGGCCACAAAACTCTATTTAATTAATTCTCTATTAGAATTAAAAGCTTAATAGGAAAGGAAGGAAAAGCTACATCAATATTTTAACAAATAGCAGCAGAAACATCACATTTTAACATTGATTAATGGAATAATGGATCTCTCACTACATCGAATGTAGGTGTGAGTAAACAGTCTGGAGTAATATTTAGATATTTAACTAGAATTAACTGATTATTTCAGCTATGTTGTTGCTGCTGTTTGATAAAGACCCTGAATACCACTGAAGGATTTACAGTACATAGTGTGTCATCACCCCACTAAATCAATACTATCAATACTAGACTTTAGTCTGTTTTCATTGTGATGATGTCAGCATTATGAGCTCAGTGTGGCAGTGATGGGTGAGTGTGCTGATGTAATCCCAACAGGTCATTACTCTGCTATCCTGAGGAGAAATCCATCCACCTCCTCCAGGATGTTCAAAGAGAAGAACTTGGGAAACTCTGTGGATGACGGTGTTAGAGACAATGGTGGCATGTGCCGTAAGGCTTTTCTAGGAGAAAAACAACACAAAAAGATCCGCTCAGAACCCAACCGCATGACAAATCACTACACTTAACTCAATAAGAACTGAAACATTATCTTACTGTGTGCTCTGAAGGACAGTGTGAGCCAATGCAGGGTTGGTCTCCATGGATGCGGTGACCAAGGAGGTGAGGAGAGACAGGTACCAGATGGCTGAAGCATCCGAAACAGACACCTCTTTACTCTTGGTAATCTGATAGCCCAGCGTCTTCAAGCCATGAATTCGCGTGTCACATCCGTCGCTCAGGCACCGCTTAATGTTGATTTGGATGTCTGGGATTTGGTGAGAAGATAATGCAGTTAGCCCACTAATGGAATACATCATGAAACAATGCCATAATCGGTTGCTTCAACCTGTGACATTAAATAGATGTTGATCAAGGGAGAAACAAAGAAATCGCTAACAACCATGAGAAGTGATATCATGCAGAGCCAGCTAATGAATTTCAATTGGCTCATTGTGCTTTAACAAATCATTCATAGCCACGAAACACAATATTATTAACAAAATAAAGGGCTGTGGCTGATTCAGCCTGTAGCTCAAACTGCAAACCACAGGACTGATTTGAAAATACATTTGAATCTGAATTTGTAACCTCTGCTAATATTTGACTGTTGCTCTTGCACTCAGCGGACTGGCTCACTCGCTTCGCACTTGATGTTATCCTCATTCATATATATTGTATCTCATAGCAAAAGCGGAACTTGTGAGTCTTGGCCTAGCTTCTGAATGGCTTGACAACTTCCAAAAATGGCGGATGTGCAGACTCCTGGCTTCACAGATGGCCCTTTAAGACCCGAGGCGGTATATGGAAATCCTGAGGGGTTAACATGTCAGCAGCAAAACAAAACAATAAACTCACACCAGGGCCTGGATTTGATTCTAGCTAGATTCAATCCTCAGCTCATAGAAGCTTGCATGTGTAATCAAAAGCACCGCTCTTAACCACTCAACTATCTGTGAACCCAGCAGTGGTCTTCTGTAGCTGACATCACACTCTGTCCTCAGCGGAGGGGTGCAAATGAGAAAGACAGATTCTCTACAAGCATCAGTGAAAGAACACACAAGCCCAAGATAAATAAACACTCAACTAAGGCTACATCTAGACTAATATGGTTAGAGCAGACAGACTGACAGGTGGTGACTCACAGGGGTGTGTAATGTTGGCATTCTCCAAGAGTGCTACATAGCCTGTGACATTGCTGGGGATGCGGATATCTCTGATCTCTTGCAGGGAACGCCGGTTTTTCCCAACAGCGACTGAGACCAGCTGAGGCATGTAGCTGTGGTCATTAGAAGCCACGGCAATGGCCAGACGCCTCAAAACCACATCTGGCTTCATTTTCAATCTGGGAACAGAAAAGAGACAAGTTTCCACCTTAAAGTTGATAATATGTATATCTACAAAAAACTCCATGATGTGAGGATCGGGAACATGTGACAATCAGTTGTAAAGCCCTTGAGTCACATTTAACAGAGTGGATGGCCTTGCCTTATCCAGTGTGAGCGTGCACTGCCGTCCGACTGCCAGAATGATGCGGTTTCTCCATTTGTCATCTTGTAAATGTCTGTAACATTGGATGAAGCTTCTATTGTGCTGTAGCACTGCGTGACCACCTTGACCTTGTCCACCTCCGGATCACGGTCCAGCTCTGCTCTGTACTGAATGTCTAAATCTGGGGGGAAAAAAACAAATACTGATTAGTAACAGACAGATGCAATTCTAAATCTATAATATATATACACAGGAGAAGACTCAGAAATGTGCAGTTAAAACCCGTTATTCAGCACTAGCTGGCGGATGTTCACCTTTCTCCTTCTGCAAGAGAAATTCCAAGTAGTCCTGGACCACACTGGACCTCATGGTGCAGATGCTGTTGTAGCCCTCTAAAATAGGGAAAGGGATGGCACTGCTGGGAATACGATTCCTGTGTAAGAATTTAAGGATCTTTGAGGCATGTGCCCCTAACCGGTCTTTGGTCTTGGAGAAAATGTCAACAAAACCTGTGGAGATAAAAAAGAAAAGAAAAAGGGTGGGAAGATATTCAGGGTTAGCTCTTCTACAACTTGCTGACAATACCTATTGAAATAAGGTTGACCCTGTTGATCCTGATAAACAAATCACATCTCTTACCTGGAGTCAGGGAGCACGCCTGTAGCTGTCTTATCACATGACTCAGCTCTCCCTTTAGATTAGCTCCATTGGAGTTCTTCAGAGCCATCAGCATGCTCTCTACATCCACCACCCCATCCCCCTCTGCATCGAACTGTCCAAAAGCCTGACACAGGGATAAAGACAGTATAATTAGTGACACTTTATATACTGATATAGATATAACTTGTGGAGCAAGATTTGGTATCCCTCATTGATAGGGCACATAATATGACCTACATAAATGACCTATATATTTTTATGTCTGTTTGACAAGTCATCTTTTGACATGGATTTGGCATGTAGTAGCTCCAGGTGTCATAGGTTTGGGATTTTTAAATGACCCAATGCAGCATGTAGTACGGTATTTAAGTATAGCAGTGGCATTCCATGTCTACCCACACAATAACAAATGCAGACTAAAGTAGACATTCATTAGTTCAACCTATTCATCAGCAACAACAGATGCCAGCCAACAGATCACAAAGCAGCATGTTGTTATGCTACAGGCCACAGCTGAAAACCCTGTGACTTCAGGACAACTCATTGTCTGATTTATTGCACACCCTTAAGACTGTGAAAAAGATTACAGGGTATCATATTTGTCCCTCTCATGACCTCAGTGGGCAATCGTGTTTACTAATCTGTCAGTCATCATAAATGGGCATGGCCACAGGTACAAACTGTACTACCGTTATCCCCACACGAGAACTAGAGTAGACCTGGTATTCCAAATAATGGCATTTCACATCGTTTGTGAGAGGTATTTTGTTTTTCTATTACTATATACCTCTTCACACTCATCTCTCGAGGCATCTCTGCTCTCCAACATCTCACAAAATTGTTCCACATTGACAGACTCTTCTCCTCGGTTTAACCGGTCCTCCAGCCACCGCACCAGGACACCCTCGTTCCCGGCCAGGACAGACTCCTGAATGGCGATCCCTGAGTCGCTAATGCGAGCCGCCGCTTCTCTTAGTTTCACTTGCTCTAAGAGGACCCCGGGGCTAGGCGGGCCACCGGTGGGCACGGGCACGTTATTCGATCCCCTTCCGCTTTTCCCAGAACCGGAGCCTCCACCGCCTCCGACGCCGACGCCAGTGGCCGCAGAGGCCGGACTGTCTTCCGCGAAGCCGGGGCTTTCGGTTTCTACGTCTTCCTCGTCGCCGCTGCCTCCACCGCAGCCGCTCTCAGCGTTCCCCATGTTTGTTTCACCGACCTAAGGCCCCCCAGACAATCTGTGCGGCCCACTGGGTGTCAGTTTTGAAACGGTTGTACCGGTCTGTACACAGACCTCTAACCTACAGCCAGAGCTCCGCCGTTCACTACTACCGCATTGACGTACTGTACGTCAGCTTGCCAGGAACGTCCTTTGCGTAGTAGTTTGCGCATGCGCAATCCCGATCCCGTTTACGGAAGCACCTGCGTTGTCACTGTGTTGCAGTTAGAAGGAATGTGATGTAAATGGACCCCACGCCACAACGCTTGAAGGGACAGCATGCTCAGCTATGTGTTTGTCGCGTTTTTATCGCTGGCAGTGTTGTTCCTCTCTCGCGAGTGGTCCGTTATATTTGGAAATGAATCAACCCCGGGGCCCCCCGCGCGACTACTGAGCGGCCCTGAACTATCACTGTACGACGGGCAGGAAGGCAGCAAGGGCCTTTACCTGGCTGTACTGGGGCAAGTGTTTGATGTACACAAGGGATACAAGCACTATGGACCTGGTGGTGCTTATCACTTTATGGCAGGTGATTTCTCGCTTGTCCTACAGCAGCCGTATTGTGCTAATGAAAAACACCTTATCTGTCAATATTAACCCACACAGAGATCTTTTAATGGTTAATCGTAGCAGACTGGTTAAACATTGGCTGATGCTGATTAACACACCGAAACCAGGAACATAAACCCCATCTAATAATAGCACATAATCAGCTATAATGCTATATCTATATTCTATATACTGTACTTTTATGTTGGTCTGCATTTGCAGGCAGAGATGCCTCATTGGCCTTCGTCACTGGGGACTTCACAGAGAGTGGCCTGACAGATGATGTGTCCAGTCTGTCCCCACTGCAGGTGATGGCCCTTTATGACTGGCTGGCCTTCTATCAGAGGGGCTACCAGACTGTAGGTATGTGATGATTGTCTCCCTACTCTTTCATTTACTGCACATGCATTTCTTCTTTAATAAAACTGGTCAGCTGTGACCTTCCAAGCATTTTGTATCAGGTTCAGTTCAGCTTTTGTTAAGATAATTAATTGCCATGTAGTGTAAATTCTAACATTACTCAGTGGTAGAATGTGACAAAGTGCATTTACTGTACTGTTCTCAAGGGCAATGTTGACATACTGGACTTTCCCATTTTATGCTTCTTTCTTCTTCTTCTTCTTCTTCACTACATCTCTGAGGGAAATATTGTAGTTTGTACTCCTCTACATTTATTTGACACTTACAGTTGACTAACGTTACTTTTTACACCAAAAAAGAACATCTGATATGCTTTTATATGATGCAGAACTACTACTATTGATTTACCCAGTACTATGCAGAGTATCTCAAATGAGCTCCTCATTGAAAAAACTACATTAAAATGCTCTTATTTGTCTGTGATTAAAAAAGAATATAACACTGTGAGCCATTGTGCATAATGAGTACTTTTACTTTTGTTGTTTACATTTTCCTGATAATACTTATCTACTTTTATTGAAGTATCATTATGAATTCAGGATTTCTACTTGTATTGGAGTAGTTTTAGACAATGGAATCTCTACTTTTACTTAAGCACCTGAGTACTTTTTCCACCACTGACATTACTCCTAAGACTTGTTTTCTCATCAGGTGCTAAGGTTATTTTCTTTGATTTCTCAACTGTACTACGTTTTAGCCCTTAACACCAGAAATCCATACTGTATGAATCAAAAATTAAACATTTATCCAGTATTACCAATGTTTGAACAATTCCAGAATATGCAGTATGAAGTAGTTTCTCCTCATCAATGGACATCCATCATCATGTTCAGTAAAATACCAGCCTCTCCATTGTTGAATTGCAGGTCTGCTAATAGGCCGGTTCTATAGTGAGACTGGGAAGCCCACAGAGGCCCTGTTGCAGGTGGAAGCATCACTAGTTAAGGGCCAGCAAATTAAGGCCCAGTCTGAGGCTGAAATGTTACACTTCCCAGCCTGCAACTCACATTGGAGCGCTGCTGGCGGAGGAAGAGTCTGGTGCTCCACTAAGAGGTATAGAAATAGTTCTGGCCTATTGAAATATTAATACATTTGCTGGGCATATTATGCAATCTTGTGATGTACTGTAATAAAACGTGTTACACCAGTAGGTGTTATTGGTATACCTAAGGATGTACTGATTTGTTTTGTTTTCCCTCCAGTGGTGGAGTGGAAAGAGACTGGACAGGTGTCCCAAGGAAACTCTTCTCTCCAGGCTCCAGCAGTGTTCGCTGTGTCTGTGTAGAAGACCCATCTGCAGCAGAGGAAGACCCCAACTTGCAGAAATATGACGGCTGTCCTCCACATGCTGACTCATGCTCTGTTGAAGAGCACTAGTCTCTGGGCCAGCCTAGAATATGGACCTATTCATGGCCACACGAAACTCAGGAAACAGACTTTTGCCAGTATATCACAGTGATGAACTTGTGCAAAATAAAGAGGAAGAATGAAGGAAACTCAATGCATTTGTTTTCAATGACCTTTATGTAAAGTTGTCCTCCCTTTCTCTAAAAGGATACACCAGGAAGAGACAGGCTAGATATCTGAGCATACAGATACAATATAATGTGCATAAAAGATTAAACAATGTGCATAAAAGATTAACAGAGGCAAGATTTAGGTTTGTCACAATGACAAGCACAAACTGCATTAAAGTACAAAACAGTTGTAGTGGTCAAAAATATCACACATTTATCTGTACAATTTAACAATACTTAAAGAGGCCCCACTACTTGGCCATCCCTCTGCTCCACATTCTCCCCAATGATCGGAAATGCCATGTGACCTTGATAAAGTGCACCTGTTAGGCTTAGAAATCAAGAAGCGTTAAACGTGATGGGTCGAGACAGCAACTTGACTTGAGGCAACATTGTGGGGACTATGATCACGTCCTCCTACGCGGACCTCATGGCAGATCAAAAATGGAATGTAATCATTTGGTGACTGATTTTGAAATATGATTTATGAATATGACAATGACATGTAAAAGGCTACAAATTAAATGACATGCATAGGCATAAGAGGCATTTCAGTAACTGAGGAGGATTTTTGAGAGAATTGTGTTTTGGGGACCATGTTTATGTTCCTCTCTTATTAAAATAAGCTTTCTGAGGTCACATTCCCCAACTTGCGATGTTAAAAAGTAAACATCCATTTAGTTTGGCTGATGCCTACACATGATAGACTATGTTCATCTTTGTCCATTTGTGCCATTTTTCACCTCTAACAGAAAATTAATACAACAGTCAGTGTTATAAATCTGAGTCTAACTAGATGATGCTCATTTAAAATACAAGTTGAGTTGCTTTCCCTTTAAATCCTCCTCATCTATCCCACTTTATCCAGTCAATACAGAATTGAGGCGACAGAAGAGTGAAAGATGAAAGATTACAGAGAACATGCTGATAGTTCAGTCTTTGTAGATCTGGAGCTCTAGGGGCATTTTACAGGTTTACTCTGCCCATGGTTGACAGCAGCCTCGGATCTCATAAATTTAAGTGTTAAATTTTTGTCTTTGGGCAGGTAACATAGCATGAAGGCTGCTGATGGTGAAATATACCAACAGAGAACAGGAAAACCCCTCCAAAGGTGACTTGATCATTAAAATGTTCATCATTGAATTTAAATGTTTACTTACAGCAGCTACCTGCTTGATAATCATCATTGGAAAGATCATTGAGCTTGGGAAATTGATTAACAGACTCAGTCCAGCCATCACCGAGCTGGAGAGCTGCTTATATCCACTTTAAGATACTTTGATCGAAACAGAAACAAAAAGACAATGTTTCACTTTCTATTTTTTAAAACGTCCCTCTAGAACATCAATAGTTTTTCATAGACTGGAATAGTATAAAGATGATGGTCCATAACTGTCCAGGAAACTCTTGTTAGTATGTCCTGCTACTGATGTCCCTTCTCCTGGTGTGCCTGAATAACAAGTTGGGCCTGGCATGGCCAGTGTCAGAGTGGAGGATATCCAGACCACTGCATTACGATACCCCACCCAGAGTTAGTACATCGAAGCAGATGTCACAAACCCTCACCGGCTTGTTCAAGTCAAATTTGATGATGGGTATCTCCTTTATAGAGCACTTGTGGCACAACAGGCGCCCACAGTGGCGGCTAGAATTAACAGTCAAGGAGGAGACACAGGATTACTCAAACAGTTTGACAGTGAATTAAAATTTATGAATAAATAAAATATTTATTGTACATAAAAAGCCATACTACTAACCAGTGATGTTTCCGTGTTGTAACACCAAACTTGGCAGCACATTCATAGCAGTTGGACCCATCACACCATGGGGGCTCTTTGGACAGCATATCTTAACAAATACAGAAACATAAATCATCAGTTACCTAGTTATTAACCCTGAGATCACCATAAGGGTCAAACACATTGTATCAGAGCATACGACTTAATGTGGGGCTGTCATTTTAATTAATGGTGAATGGCTGATAGATAATTAAGTGTGGAAACCTACCTAGAAGGCGGAAGAGCAACTGTTTGGTTGCAACCTGGTAGTTGAAAATGTTGATGCCCTGATTATTATTGATGCCCAGTCGAGCCCCAGCCCTCACAATGGCACGGCACAGGTTTGCATTTCCTTTCATGTAGGCCAGGAGCAGAACTGCAATAAAATACAGATCACAGTAATTTTATCACGGGTGTACCTTGGGTATTTATATGCTATTTGTATACTGTAAACAACAATAACAATTAAGCAAGCTACAGTACCTGTGTTTCCTTCATTATCTGGTTTGTCCAGAGGATATTCAGGCATACACTCCAGGAACAACTCAAAAATGGCAGCAGCGTTCTCTTTCCCGTAATGGCCTAGGACATGCATTGGTGACTGACCCCTGAGCAGACATAATGCGATGAAAAGGAAACAGGCAAGTTGACATTATGGTCTACAGGTTATCCGTTATGTCTGAAAAGGTGAAACTTTATGCACTGTTAAAATTCTGCATTCTATTGTGTTAACATACTGCTGCAAATACCTAAAAGTTTGACCATATTGATCTAAAGGAAACATCTGACTGTGAAAAACTGACTGTGCAGTCTACCTGAGATTGAAGGCCTCAGCATCAATGTTGGACTCCGTGAGAAGGGTTCTAACATTGTTAAGGCGGCCCTGCATCACAGCCAGATGCAGAGCTGGGGGTTGACAACAAGGACAGACAAAAGATGGTGATATTATAATTATTAATCAAGTACACAACAGAGAACAGTAACTTCAACAGGAATTTTTAAAGCTGAAACCAATGACACCTTTGAACAAAACAATGTCCATCTTTACTATGTAACTCTTGTGTGAAAAAACTGAACCTTTATCTTGAGGAGCTTTCTAGTGAGTCTAATGTGATGTCTAAGGACAGACAACCAACTGTTCAAAGATGATAGCAGTGAATGAAAGACTGAAACAGACTTGATGGGTAATCTGATTATTGTTCAGATTAGACATTTGTCAATTTGGGTGCAAATTATTTAATAGAAGCATCCTGGATTACAGAGCATAATAATAAAACAATGTAAGGTACCATTATTGCCATTCTCGTCCTCAGCAGCAAAGTCAACACCATTCTCCAGCAACACAGAACAAATAGTGGCCAGGTCCTGCTGGGCAGCCAAATGTAGTGCTGTCTGCCTGTGTTTGGTCACCTCGTTTACTTTGGCTCCGGCAAGAAGCTGGAAGAAGAAACACGCAAAATAAAACCAGTATCAACTTCACCACTCTTTTAATAACACTGACATTGGCATGAATTGTGAATGCAAAAGAAAGAAAATCTGAGGTTTCCTACCAGGTTGCGGACAATGATCTCAGATCCGGCCTGCACAGCCAGGTGCAGAGGGGTGAGTTTGGCTGCATCCTGAACCCTGGAGTTGACATTGGCTTGGACGCTGATGAGGAAGAGGACACTTTCGATGTCTGAATTTTGCACAGCCACGTGGAGAAAATTACGCCCTTTGTTGTCCACCTGGACAGAAGCAGAGGTTTGAGATCAGTAGAGATTAACACATGTCTGTAAGGCAACAGCAATTTTTCTAAGTGAGACACAAATTGGTGTGTGTGAGCGCTACCTGTTCAGCAGCACCCGGCTCCCTCTTGAGAATAGCCTCTGCCGCCTTGTTGTTCTTGTGTGTCATGGCACAGGCGAAGGGGGTCATTCCTTGACGGTCACGAATGTTGAGACGAATGTCTGGATGGGAAATGAGGAGCTGTATGATGACGTTGTGCTGGCTGCTAATGGCAGCATGGATGGGAGCTCTGCCCTCTGCATCCTGACAGAAATAGACAGACACAGGATTAGGAAAAGAGCATGTTTACCATTCATTTAGTAATCTCATTAACTGTATGCTGTAGTAGCAGGAAAACGGTAGCATCAGACAGAAATTGGCCCACTGATGTGACAGGACTGACCTGTGCATTAACATTAGCTCCAAACTCTAGAAGGCACTGCACCACCTCCTCCAATCCCCAGCTGCTTGCAAGGTGGAGAGGCGTTTGTCCATCTCGGGCTTCTTCGTCTCCTTCCCCGTTAGGTCCTGGCCTTCTACAGCTGTTCACGTCACAACCACTATACACACACATAAGGCAGACAGTAAGTTAGGACAGTCAACTACGTCCAGCTCAATAACACAAAGCTTAAAAACAGACAGGTTGCTAGTTTTAGATCTTTATTCTAATTTTCTCAGAATATTGGCAGTTTAGGCAGATATCCACAGCTAGGATTAGGTTTACAAAACCACGATGGTAAGGAAATTGGCTGACCTGCGAATGAGGAAGCAAGCGGTGACTTCATTATTCTCATCAACAGCTCTGTGCAGGAGAGTCTGCTGGCAGCCAGAGGGCCCTGTGCTCCAACAAGTCGCATCACAGCCATGGCGGACCTAGGTGTGACAAACAGGACTCAATCAAAATGCATATTTATACAACATATATAGAGCCTAAAACAAGGATTTAACATTTAAATTAAATTGATTTTGCTTTGGGCCATCCTCCATGCGGCTTTATGCCCCACCAGGAGTGTTTTGTTAACTTGGACATTATTCCTTGATGTATGTGCTTCTACCATTGGTTGGTAGGCCACATAGTTAAACTGTCTCACCAGCGTGGATGCAATATCTTCTAAGCCATTCTCCAGGGCCAGCCACAATGGAGGGTCCCCTTTGTCATTCACCACAGACATATCTGCTCCTCTTGTGCAAATGGCATCCACCACCAGTGGCAGCTGGTTACTAATGGCCAACTGTAGTGCTGTTTGTCCCTCCTGGGTCCTGGTAGGAGAGAAAAATTAAAGACATGAGACAAGACTAGAACAAATTAAAAACTCTCGCCTCAAAATTCTTAAGTGGATACTGAGAGATTTAAATTAATTTGTTGCTACTAATGGTACAACTTTGGGGGCTTTTCCTGACACATAATCTTTTTCCTGTATTTTGGGTCCTACTTTAGG